TCCACTAATTTTAAGTCACTAATTATTATTCATAACACTCCCCCTTGGATGTCCAATATTTAGAATGTGCCTCATTAAAACCTTACTAGGAAAAACCCTATGGGATAAAAACCTAGTGAAGGAAAAAAAGTACATCATTCATAAATATTTATTTCTCCCCCTCATGCATACAATCTTTAAGACAACGGAGTCCAATCTTATGTATCAACTGTTCAAAAACTTTTCTTGGAAGTGACTTTGTAAAGAGATATGTTAGGTTGTCACTTGAGTGGACTTGTTGAACATTTATATCACTATTTCTTTGAAGATCATGAGTAAAAAAGAATTTTGGTAGAATATGTTTTGTTCTATCTCCCTTTATGTATCCATCTTTCAATTGTGCAATACATGCAACATTATCTTCATATATAGCTGTCGATGTCATTTTTCCAGAAGATAAATCACAAGTTTCCCGTATGTGTTGAATAACAGATCTTAGCCAAACACATTCACGACTTGCCTCATGTAATGCTAAAATTTTAGCATGATTAGATGAAGTGGATGATACGGTTTGTTTCACAGATCGCCATGAAATGGCTGTACCACCACTTGTAAACAAATATCCTGTTTGTGATTTACCATTATGAGGATCTGACAAATAACCTGCATCTACATAATCATTTAGTTATGGTTTGGGAACACTTGAATATAATAACCCCATATTCATTGTACCTCTAAGATAACGAAGGATTTGTTGAACTTCATTCCAATGTCTTTGTGTAGGTGAAGAACTATATCTTTCTAACAAATTAATAACAAATGTTATATCAGGTCGTGTATAATTAGCAAGGTACATTAGTGTTCCTACAACACTAAGATATGGTACTTCGGGACCAAGTATTTCTTCATTCTTTTCTTGGGGTCTAAATAGATATTTGTTAACATCTAAAGATCTTACAACCATGGGAGTGCACAATGGATGTGATTTGTCCATATAAAACCTTTTAAGAACCTTTTTTATATAAGCTTCTTGATGCACAAGAATTCCATTTTCTAAGTATTCAACTTGTAGTCCTAGACAAAACTTTGTCCTTCTTAGATCCTTCATTTCAAATTCTTTCTTTAAGCAATCTATTGCTTTTGAAAACTCTTCAGGAGTTCCAATAATGTTTATGTCATCTACATAAACTAAAATTATGGCAAATCCATTTTCAGATCTTTTTATAAATATATACGAACAAATTAGATCAATTTTATATCCTTCTTATAACAAGTATTCACTTAGTCAATTATACCACATACGACCTGATTGTTTTAGCCCATATAGGGACTTATTCAATTTGATCGAATAATCTTCTCTAGAAATTGCATCTTTAGGCAAATTAAATCCTTCTGGGAGTTTCATATAAATGTCAGCATCAAGAGAGCCATATAAATATGCTGTAACCACATCCATTAGATATAAATAAAGTTTTTCATGTACAACCAAACTAATTAAATATCGAAAAGTGTTTGCATCCACTACAGGTGAATATGTCTCTTCAAAATCAATATCGGGTCTTTGTGAAAAACCTTAAGCAACTAGTCTTGCTTTGTATCTCACAATTTCACCATTTTCATTCGTTTTTGCACAAAAACCCATTTGTATCCAATTGGTTTTACACCTTTTGGTGTACGTAGTACTCGTCCAAAAAAATTTCGTTTAGCAAGCGAGTCTAATTCTGCCTCAATTGTATCTTTCCATTTTGGCCAATCATTTCTTTGTCGACAATTGTTGATGGACTTTGGTTCTTGATCCTCAATATCATTTATTTCATTTAGTGTTATATTATATGCAAACATGTCATCAATATTGACATTGTTTCGATTCCATCGTATTCCATTCATGACACAATTTATTGAGATCTCTTCATTTTCAATAATTTCATGTACCTGAGTTTCTTCTGGAACTGGAATATTAGTTATGTCAGAGGAATCTTTTTGAGTTTTTACATCCTCAATTTGGTCATTTTGCTCTTTAGCTCCCTTTTTTATTCGAGGATTCTTATCCTTGGAACCAATTGGTCTACCACGCTTCAGGCGTATTTATGACTCATTTGTAGTATTAAATTGTCCAACAGGGACTTCGAATCTTATTGGAGCATTAGCCGCTAGTACGTATGACTTAGTCACCCTTCTTGGATCTGTGAATACATTTGGTAATTGATTAGCTAGATTTTGCAAATGAATTATCTTTTAAACTTCTAGTTCACATTGTTTTGTATGAGGATCAAAATGAGACAGTGATAATTCATTCCAACTAATATCTTTTTTTAGCTATTTGTGTCCTCCCCCTAATGTTGGGAAAATCAACTCACTAAAAAGCATGAGATGTGAATTCACCATCATTATCCAAACAAATTTTCTTAATTGGATATTTAGGAAAATAAGTTCTTAATCTAATTAGTTGAGCTAATAATCTCGCAAACGCCTGGTTGCGATTTGATAATAAACAAACATGTGACCATAAAATATTTAAATGGTCCACATGGGGTGTATTGATCCATAAATATCACCTTGTATCCATTCTAAAATTAAGATAAATTCATTTTCAATTTTTGCTGGTGATGGTCTAATTATTAACTTCCCTTGGGAACAAGCAGTACATGAGAAAATATTTGATTGAAGAATCTCCTAGCTCTTCAATAAATGTCCACATGAATTTTCAATTATTTTTTGCATCATGATAGTCCCATGGTGACCCAACCGATCATGTTAAATCTCAAATTTATTTTGATTTGTAAACTTTTGGTTTACAATATTATGTGTTTCAACTATATTAACATACGTGCAATACAGTTCATAGAAGAAAACAGGTAATTTTTCCAATACTTTTTTTTTATTCAAGTAGAGTTTCGTAATATAAAGATATTATACATATCCTTCATTGTTTGTTTCAATAAGTTACCCATTTAAACAAATATCATTGAAACTTAATAAGTTTCTATAAGATTTAGAAAAATATAATACATTTTTAATATGCACTTTCATTTCTTTCGGTAATAATATATTAGCTCTTCTGGAGCCTTCAATTATATTTGTAGTACCACATAACATTAACTTCTCGCATTATTGAATATGAGAAGACAAAAATTAATACATTCGAACATTCACTTCAAGGAATGAAATAATGCTAGTTAAAATGGTCTCTTGCATAAAAAAAATCTCAATATTTTGTTTTAGTCTTCAAGAGATAATAAATCAACTAAGGATATTTCTTAATCTTTTTTTTTATAAAAAAAATATTGAGATTTTTTTTTAAGATTCAATGACGTAACCCATGAGTTCAATTACATGACAAGTTGATTATTTTAATCAATTTAATCATGAACAATATCAAAATACAAATGTAGGAAAACTCATAATTCTTTCCAAAAATCACACAAAACCTAAATAGGTTTAAAGACACGTTTCATTAATCATAATATTTATAAGTATCTCAAATATCATTCAACATTATAATTATGACATTGACAAAATTATTACCAGTAGTGACCTCATTTATATCAAAATAATATATTTATATCAATTTTTTCTAATTCTGGTGAAATTTGTTTTATTTTTCACTTTTCATATTATTTTCTCACTTCTAGTGAGAAAATTTATCTTTCATTTTCATTTTTTTCATCATTTTCTCACTTCTGGTGAGAAAAAAAATATTAAAATGTCTTTATTTGACAATGTCTTTTAGATTATTATAAACATATTTTTATATTTTTTTTCTTTAAAATCAATTGTATTTAAATAAATTTCACAATCATAAGAATATAAATATTCTATCAAATTCATAATATGAAAAACATGATTACATAATAATGACAAAATATATTACGTCAATGAAATATCGATATTTCTCACTTCTAGTGAGAAAAAATAATAAATTAAAAGAGATTGAATATTCTCTTTTGATAGCATCTTCTAGACACATTTCAAGGATGTATAATTTTTTTTATTTAATAGTGTCTTCAGGACTACTATAGTGTCTTCAAGACTACTTTAATACATAATAATGTAAACAATACAAATATTTGATATAATTTTTATTGTGGAAGATGAATAACTAACCTTGAAATATTTATTTTGAAAAATATGATTTTCTTCATGAAAATTCTTCATAGCTTTGTCTTACAGTTGCAATACTAATAGCGGAAAGACTATCGTGCTGATATAAAAGAAAGAAAAATAGAGAGAACAAAGAAGACAATATGAGAATCTGACTTGTGTATTATATTTGGGAGAGGACTAACCTATTTATAAGTATATGTGGTAACTGAACAATTACACAATAAAGTGAATAATATATATCAAAAATATAAATGGTAATGATTGATAATGAATATTGGCATCTACTAATTAAGGCACTAATTATTATTCATAACAAATTTAAATTTTTAATATATTTTTTATAATATAAACTGCCGTAATTAAAAAATTATGACATTTAATATGAATGCATAATATATTTTTTCTGATGTAGTCTTTGATAATAAAAACAATTTTTTTTGTACAACCATTTAATGAAGAATTTGATTCAAGTACTATACAAATTTCTACGAACAAAATTAAAACAATATTAATTAATGTTAATAAAAGATTTTAAATGTTTTTATTTATGAATTCCAATAATGTATTTTATAAAAAGAACTTTAATTAAAGCCATTTATCGAACTATTTATCCTAAATTATTATTACAATAATTATTCATTTTTTAGTTATATAATCATGTTTTATAACAAATCGTCTAACTTATCAAAATAAATCGTGCATGGTAAGGATATCAAATCTAGTTATTCAAAGGAAGGACGAAGGTGAGTGACTTTTAAAAACTAGAACTCGTGTGTGTCATTTAAACATATTTCTAAGGTGTGTATAATTTTTCCTAATATAATTTTTACTATTATTGAAAATCATGAAATCTTATGAGATATGTTAAATAAAAAAATTAGACTTATATAATTTGACAATTCTCACAAATGGATCCAAAATTAAACTCAAGTATATTTATAGTTGAATATTAAATTGTAATTTGTAAGCCAAACTTAATCAAAATATACATAGAGGAAAACATTAGTGGAATAGAGCAAGGTGGGGAGAACCGATAGCATCACAAACAACTACCCGGAGAAAAAATAGCCACCCAAGTTCTGTATCCAAACTTTAAGAGTCAAAGTATAATGCTACCATGTGATGTGATAGCATGAAAAAGAATTAGGAATTCATTGTAATGAAGATATCAAAAGATGGCTGAACTAGTTCTGCGTAACTGATGCTTAAGCTCAGGTGGTGGCACAGATGGCAACGCCTTCTGCATCTCCTGTGACAACCAAAAAAAAGTTACCATAAACATAGAAGAATCATCTAGAATAATCTTTAATGGTGTTATTCAGTAAGGTTTTTATTTTTATTTTTATTAATAAGAAACATTACAACAAGGACTATTTAGATTGAGCCAAAGTCTTCGTATATTAACCCAAATCCTCAATCAATAAACTGACCCTAGTAGTTTATCTAACAAGATTACAAGATTATGTTTGAATAAATTCGTCATTAGGTATTTGTAGGAGAAAAAAAATAAGATGATATAATGAATTATCTCATAAGTTAAAATCAACTTACACAGTTCAATGTTTATACTTCATTAGGTGCATCTTATGAAAGAAACTTGATTTAATATGCCTTTATTTTCTTTTCTACATGTGCTTATTGAAATGTTTATATAAACATAGCCCAAGTTGTTATGAGTCATGACACAACTATTCCAAAAGTTTAAGCTATTATGCAAAGGTAAATGAATTGTTTTACTATATCTCTAAGTATCTAAAACTTATAAAAATAGAATGAAAAAAACAGTGGCTAGTACAGAGCAAACTTAAAAGGATCAGTCCATCACACACTATTTTGTTAGGACTTAAAGTACATAAGGAGAGTCCAACACAAAAGACTAGTTCCTTAGTTATCCATGATTACAAAAGACATATACCAAAGTAACAAATGAAATATTCACATGGCAATCAATGGAGTTTTCTGCAACTTAAAAATTGCCAACTACTAATAGAATGATGTAAGAGGAATTTCGCTTTAACCTGACAAAATGGTCAATATTCCACACCTCAATACAAAAACACATTTATACGAAAACTGTAGATCCAAATTCAATCTTAGAAATACAACTAGTTTGAACATTCTTATTCTTAGTTTTGAGCCTAATCCGATTACTATTTTTCCTTTCAAAAAAAGAATATTTCATCTGTTACCTTCTTTTCTTAACACCAACAATGAAGAATAAAAATAGACCTGACAGGTTGATTCACTAGAGAGTACAGACATGTTGATTTATTCGCTAATCACTACAATTTATTCCATTAAGCGCAGCTTATGTACTATATAGCATAAAGAATGTTACCAACACTTTCTGTAACACTCTTTTATTATAAGTTGAAATTTATTAGAAATCATAAATGCTGTAGGTCTTGCATCTCATTTAATGAATCTTTCATTGGGACCAACCAAAATTTGTGATTTTCAATAAATTTCAACCAATAGTAGAGAGAGAGTATCACTATTAGATATAGAGTGTCACAAGCATTTCACTAATAGTATATACCTAGCACACTCACTTTTCGGTGTCATAAATCACAAGCCTAATCCAAGATATCACACAACCAATAGAGACATATTGCAGACAAGCATTGGCCAGGTGAAATCTTAATCAACAAAAAACATTTAAATCATATACATTTCCTGCCAAGAAGGCAGGCCTCAATCCAGGAAGAGATGTGACTAACAAATATCAGCAAACAACAAAATTTTAAAGGGTTTAATGACGATACACTGACAGTGTAAAACAATTTTATAGGATCATCTAATCATAATTCATCATAAATGATAAGTTTGTTAACTTTTACAATAATTATCTTAAAAATCACATAAACTGTGACTTAGAATTGGTTAGCTGTGTAAAACTTTTAACACCGACAATGTATCACCTAATTTTAAAATTGCATGTGAACAAAAGCAAAGAATTAGAAACATACATTCAGTCTTCTAAGCCTTTCATTCTCCTCTTCTAATTGCGAAACTTTATTCTCCAGTTCTTGTGTGTATGCCTGTTCATTGTCAGAAACAGTGCCTTGTATCAAACAAAAAAAAAGTACATTCCAAAGTAACAACACCAACACACAAAATTGCATATAACCTGTTTCCTTGCCCGTGACCTTGCAGCAGATTCCCTATTTTTGATCATCCTCTTCTGCCTCCTCTCCACAGTTTTCTCAACCACATCACCAGAGGCAACCCTTTTCCGACCTGGAGTTTGTGTATCCGACAAACCGCCCACCAAAGAACTCGGCGTCTTGGTGTAAGCCGCATCCAAAACTAGATTCATGGCAACCTGGAAAGGCTGCTGAATGGCATGGCCAGCCACATAACCCCCCATCATATTCTGCTGATATTGCATCCATTGGCCATGTTGTGAGGTAGCCCCATTTGAATCCTTGGTAGGAAAAGATTCAGCAACCACTCCAGCCTTCACCAAGAAGTCCTCCAGAGTCATCTCACCAAGTGTAGCCTGTCTTTCCTGTGTTTTCCTATCCCTATTAGTAGTATCCTTCTTCAGTTGCATATCTCTCCAAACCTCATCAACTGTTATCTTGCTGAGATCCCTAGACGAAGTTAGGCTCCCCTGTGGATTCAGAGAAGCAACATGGCCATCATGATGCATGTTAGCATCACCACCACCACCAACACCAAAGTCAAAGCCAGAGGCCTCACCACCAGCTTCAGCACTCCACACACTCTTCAGTAACTCGTCAAGATTCATGCTGCCAAGAGGCTTCCCCAAATTCCCAAGCTGGCTTTGCACCTCATCAAGGGTTAGATTATACAAGGACCCTTGCCTAGCCAAAGGGGCAGTACTAGTATTTGGCTCTTGTACTGTCTCTACCTGAGATCCCATTTCTCTAAACCCCAATACAAACCTACAATTCTATATCATACATCTTTAAAAATCCCCAACAAACACCTCTATCTCAATTTAGTACCCCCTGCCCCCCTCCCTCCAAAAATAAAAGCACAAAAAAATGATAAAGGGGCAGAATACAGAATACAGAATACAGAATAATACACCCTGAATTCAATCCTAATTCCTAACACAAACCAGTTTCTTTGAGAGCTTTTGGAGATTTTATAACAGGCACTCACAAACACAAAGCAAGTAAATTTGTAGTGGGGGGTGTAAAATGGTGGGTGAAAATTGGCCCCAGAAGAAAATAGAAAAGATAAGCCAGTTCAGGTTTCAAGGGAATCAATGTTACACAGAATAGATGCTCCACAGTCCAACATAGGATGGTACTTGAGAGCAAAAGCGAAAAGCCATCAACTAATCATCATGCATGTCATTCCCATCATCATCACCACTGTGCATTAGAGTAATAAAAACCCAAACTTGGCCCTGCAAAAACCAACCTCAGCACAAACAAAACCACTTTTGGTCATGTAAACTAAACGGCTGAACATTCCCTCCTGAGAGAACATTGCTTATTACCCTATCAAGCAAAAAGGGTGGTTGAGTTTTTATTTTTTTTACTTCAAATAAAGAAAAAAAAGAAAAAAAAAAGTCACTAATGAATGAAGAAATTTTGGAAACTGATGAAAGAATAGACAGTTCTAGTACTGTTTTACTTGCTGTAGGACAAAATTTGAATCTCCAAGGTCTGTACAAAAAAATATGGGCATTTCAAATTTTTCTTTGGGAGTGGGGACACCAGTACACACCAAGCAAGGTTGAAGAAATATTTAAAAAGTTATCATTATTATCATTATTATATATGAAAGTGGCTCTACCTATTCCCTCAGTGGTCTTTTTCTATCTTAACTCACTAAAAATATAATAATTAATTGATAAAGATAGTTGGGTATAAGGTGATGACTCAGCTGATGGATGCAAGCTTCCCGGCAATTTTTCAACAGTATCAATATATTCTTTCACATTTTTTCAATTTTTTATTATCAATTCAATATTTTATAAGGTTAATTAAGTTTTTAACTCATCCGATTTTAAAACTTTTTTTTACCAATTTTTAGTCTTCTAATAGTTTTTTTTCCTCATAAATTAGTCTTTGAAATTATATAGGATTACTTAATAAATATCAAATTATATAACACTATAATTTTACTACTTATTTATAACTAAAAGGTCAAAAAGTGTTGTAATAACATTTTTTTATTTTCAAAAAAGAATGTTTGATGATGATTGAATAAAAAGAATTATAATAAAATTAAACATGTTATATGATTTAATATTAATTAAATAAATATTTGAGTATTAATTATCAAGTTAATTATAATTTATTAATACATATTATTATATAATAAATGACATTTAATGTCAAGGATTAATTTATGAAAAAATTAATAAAAAATTAAAACTAAAAAAAATTAATAGAAACTAAAAATCAAATTTTCATAAAATTAAAAGACTAGAAACTTATTTAATACATCTTTATAATTAAATAAAGGGTTGAATTCACGTCATTTAATAAATCTTATACGAATTCCAATAAATAATAAAGTGACGTAAGAACTGTATTACTGTACCAACTTTTAAAGGATTTTTATTCGGCCACATTACTCTGAAAGATACATAAGTGGACTGACTACGTCAAAATTTGGAGATGGTCATAAGTGGACTACATCAAAATTTGGGGATAGAACGCAATATTATTATTTTTTTGTTTAATTTCGTAGTTCATACAGTCAAATAACAATTGATGTACAAATGGAATACTTTTTGTATTTGATAAAGCTAAGAGGATATTGTAAAAAGTGGAATTAGGGGCTTTTAGCAAAAGTTAGTTTCCTTATTATTTTGAGAAAAATAGTTAGTTGTTAGTTATCAAAATTTTTTGTCAGACTTTTAAAGATAAAAGTTAGTGGTTATTTGGGGGAAAAAATACAATTGTATTGGGAATCAAAGGTTATAAATAAATATCTTTGTGTAAATTTTGATGATTTATAAATAAAAAATATAAGTTTGTTTCCTCTATTGCTCTTGAAAATTAAGAATGAGTGTGTGAGACCCCTTTTCCCCTCCTTTCTTTTCCTTCACTCTCTTCACTCTCAAAAAACTTTCACTCTCTCATTTTTTCCGGTTGTGCTTCTCCTCAATTTGTTGTCTCTAGGTGGTGGTGCAGAGTAGCTTCGGATTCCTAGCTGAGTATTTGGGGTTCCTTTTTCTCCTCCTTCCTCCGTTCGTTCTCCATTTCTTCTCCTCATTTCTTGTCTTCTTCGTCCCGGAGCTCGGATTCTTCAACCGAGGTAAGGGAAGTTAGTTTTGGTTGTCATGCTTGGTTGAGAATGAGTCTCAGAAACTCATTAGCTGGTTGTTGATGAGTGATTTTTGCTATGATTGCTGAAATGGAGTTTTTGGGTTGGTTGGGGTTATGAGAGAAATTTGGGGTTTTCTTGTTTTGTTGTTGCATGTGTAAAAAGGTGGCGTTTTTGAGCTTTTGGTGGAAAATGTAGTACTTTGGCCGGATTGCATGTTGTTTTCTAGTTGAGTTTGTAGGATTTGATGAAGTTTTTCGAAAGTTGAGGGTTGCTGCTGAGCCTCGCGCTGAGCGCAGTTCTTCGCGCCGGGCGCGAGACCACCTGGAGGTTCCTTTTAGGCAAGCCCGCCGGGAGCAAAGATGTGTGCGTCGGGCGAGCTTGAGAAGGTGAGCCTCTGGATGGCCCCCGCCGGGTGTGACATGGACTGCGCCGAGTGCACTGGCAGTATATGACATGTTATGGAGTCCTGGTTCCACGCTGAGCGTGCTCCTCGTCGCGCTGGGCGTGGGGACTCCTTGGGAGTCTCTGCCATGGGGGCGCTGGGCGCAAATCTGAATTGTGCTGGGCGCGAGACCAAGGGAGGTCTCTGCCTTCCCCACGCTGGGAGCGGGTTTGGGCATGTCGGGCGCGTGAGACTCCATAGAGTCTCTGCCTGGCATGCGCTGGGCATAATTGGTATTGCGCCAGGCGCGTGTGAGCCTTGGGCTCTCTGGCTGGGTTCTGCCGGGCGCGGGCACGCTTACGCTGGGCGCGCTGGCCCCTTGGTGCTCTCTAGTTGCACTGCGCTGGGCGCAACCACGAGTGCGCCGGGCGCAAAGGGGAGATTTCACTAAATGCTGTTAGAAGTTGCTGTATGCTGAGAATAAGCCGAAATTGATGAATATGATGTGCTGACTAGTAGATAATGTTGTTTGATGATGTTTAGCTGTGATAGATGTTATTTCTATAAGTTGTGTTGTGCTGTGAGCTGACAAGATGAGTTGTGTTGCGCTGTAAGATGTTTAGATGTGCTGTAAGATGATATGTTGTGCTGTAAAGCTGTGCTATGCTGTATGTTGATATAAATTGTTGTAGGCCGTAAGGCTGAGCTGTTGTAGGCCGTAAGGCTGAGCTGTTGTAGGAGATCTCTGAGTTGATTATGATGTATACTGATTTGATGTATGCTGATGATGTGTTGATAGCCGTAGCTGTTCATTTTTATTTAATAATGTTTTATATGTTGATTCTTTATACTAGCTTACCCTTTGTTGTTTCCATGTGTTTTGGACTGCGATGATCATACGTTGTATGGAAGCAGAGCAGGGTTAGGCTGGTGATAGAGGCAGGTCTGCAGCTGGCAGATAGAGGAGTCTTATTTTGCGGATATTTTGATGTTTGGCCACTAGTTGGCTATCTTGGGTTGTGTTTTGTTTATGTACACTCTAACTCTAGTCGGATTGGGACCTTGTATATATTTATATTCTAGATCCTATATTTATATACTCGTTCTTTTCTGTCTAGTGTTTTCGGTGTGCTGTGTTGTGTGTAGTGACCAGTCGGGTCGTTACACTTTAGTGGTATCAGAGTAGTTTGAGTCTAGTGGACACTCTGTGGGGGTGGTTCCTTTAGGCTTTTGTTGTGCTGAGCTCTGTGTTGTGTTGTCTTGTTGTGTTGTTTGCTGTGATGTCTTGCTTTACTGATTGCTGTGTTGTTTTGCTGTGATGTTGATTGTTGTTTGTTTTAGTTATTGTGTACAAAAGATGCTGTTCCTTTTGTAGACAATGACTAGAACAAACGAGCAGATAGTCCGTGCCATGGAGATGATGGCCATGGCTATGCAACAGCAAAATACCTATTTTGCTAGAGTGGAGGCTGATAGAGCTGCAACTGGTGCAGCAAGGCCCACGGGGTCACAAGAGAGCTGAGACCTAGCTGAGTTCTGGAAGTGCCATCCTCCTCAATTCAAGGGAGATGCAGATCCAGAGGTGGCTGACCACTGAATTTATGAGTTAGAGAAAATCTTTACCGTGCTGGGATGTTCTCAAGAAAGGAGGCTGGCATATGTTGTGTACATGCTGGTTGGGGAGGCCGAGCATTGGTGGAGGGGTACCCATCACATGCTGACCGCTAGAGGAGTGGTTGTTGACTGGGAATGCTTCAGGAGGGTGTTCTTGGAGAAGTATTTCCCTGAGAGTGTGAGGCATGCCAAGGAAGCTGAGTTCATGCGGTTACACCAAGGAGGGATGACAGTTTCTGAGTATGCGATGAGATTTGAGCACCTGGCTCGTTTCTATTCGCAAGGTATAGCTGAGGCCTGGAAATGCCAGAAGTTTGCTGAGGGTCTAAAATATGAGCTGAAGAGGGTGGTGGTGCCTATGGCCATCACTGAGTTTCCAGCCTTAGTGGAGAAGGCGAAGGTTATTGAGCGGTTGGAAGGTGGTAACCGTGGAGTGAAGATTGCTAAATGACCAGCTGGGTCCAAGAAAGGAGGGAATCAGAGGAAGCCGTATGATAGGCCCCAACCACAACAAGGGGGTCCTGTCATTAGGCAACCTTCTGGTGCTGCCCTTAGATGCTACAGGTGTGGTGGGCCCCATTTGATCAGGGATTGTCCACACACAGAGAACCGATGTTTCAGGTGTCAGCAGATGGGCCATGAGTCGTTCAACTCCCCTACCAGGAACAGACCAGAGAGGGGTACACAGAGGAGTGGTGTGCAGAGAGCTGATACTCAGAGGGGCGACAGACCCACTACAGCTGGTAGGGTATTTCCTTTAACAGGTGTTGAGGCTTCCACTTCTTCTGATCTTGTGAAGGGGAAGGGCAAAGCTGCTGGTAAGGATGTGATGATTCTTCTCGACTCTAGTGCTTCACATTCCTTTATATCTTATGCTTGTGCTGCTATGCTGGGGGTGAATGTGTGTGATTTGGGGTTGAGACTGCTAGTGTCGACGCCTGCTTCTGCTTCGGTAGTTGCTTCTGAATTATGTGTTGGCTGCCCTATTGTTGTAAATGGGAAGAGGTACAAGGTGAACTTGATTTGTTTGCCTTTGGTTGATATTAACATAATCTTAAGGATGGATTGGTTGTCTTCCAATCGCATCCTTATAGATTGTGCCAATAAGCGGTTGATCTTTCCTCAAGAGGAGGATGATTTGTTGATTTCAGCTGGCCAAGCTGAATCAATACTGAGGGATGGAGCAAAGTGTTGTCTTCTGCTTGCTACTATGAGTGTGGAGACCGAGAGGTTCATTGCGGAGATTGATGTAGTGCGGGATTTTGCTGAGGTATTCCCGGATGAGGTGCCTGGGTTGTCTCTTGTTAGGGAGATGGAGTTTAGCATTGACTTGGTTCCAGGTGCGGGGCCAGTGTCGGTGGCTCCCTATAGGATGGCTTTTGCTGAGCTGGTTGAGCTGAAAGGTCAGTTGGAGGACCTGTTGG